AGGTCAGAGTGCAGTGGCGCGATCTCGGCTCACTGCAACGTCCACCTCCCAGGTTTAAACAATTCTCCTGCCTCAGCCTCCCAAGTAGCTGGGACTACAGGTGCACGCTGGGACTACAGGTACGCGCCACAACGCCCAGCTAATTTTTGTATTTTCAGTAGAGATGGGGTTTCATCATGTTGGTCAGGCTGGTCTCGATCTCCTGACCTTGTGATCCATCCGCCTCGGCCTCCCAAAGTGCTGGGATTATAGGTGTCAGCCACCACACCTATAATCTGGCCTTGTGAAAACATTAATAGCTGAGACACAAGAATTGCTTGAACCCAAGAGGCAGAGTTGCAGTGAGACAAGATTGTGCCACTGCTTTCCAGCCTGGGTGACAATGCAAGACTCCGTCCCCTTCACCAACAAAAATGAAATTATATATATATATATGTATTAAAAATAAAAAATATTAATAAACTAGGTGTGGTGGCTCACACCTGTAATCTCAGCACTTTAGGAGGCCAAGGTGGGTGGATCACTTGACACCAGGAGTTCAAGACCAGCCTGGGCAACATGGCGAGACCCCCATCTCACAAAAATTTTAAAAATAAGCTGAGTGTGATGGTGTACACCTGCAGTTCTAGCTACTGAGGCAGGAGGATCACTTAAGCCCAGGAGTTTGAGGCTGCGGTGAGCTATGATGGTGCCACTGTACTCCAGCATTAGCATCAGAGCAAGACCCTGTCTCTTTAATTAATTAAGATATTTAAAATAATGACTGTTCGGTGGCTCATACCTGTAATTCCAGCACTTTGGGAGGCTGAGGTGGGTGGATCACTTGAAGTTGGGAGTTCGAGACCTGCCTGATCAACATGGAGAAACCCATCTCTACTAAAAATACAAAATTAGCTGGGCATGGTGGCCCATGCCTGTAATCCCAGCTACTCAGGAGGCTGAGACTGGAGAATCGCTTGAACCTGGGAGGCAGAGGTTGCAGTAAGCCAAGATTGTGCCATTGCACTCCAGCCTGGGAGACTAGAGTGAAACTCTGTCTCAAAAATAACCATTAAAAATAATAGAATGATATGGCTTGGATTTGTGTCCCTGCCCAAATCTCATGTCAAACTGTAATCTCTAACATTGGAGGAGGGGCCTAATGGAAGGTGATTGGATCATGGGGGTGATTTCCCCCTTGCTTTTCTCATGATAGTGAGTTCTCAAAAGATCTCGTTGTTTAAAAGTGTGTAGCACCTCCCCCTTCGCTCTCTTCCTTCTCCTCTGTCCATTTAACACATGCCTCTTTCCTCTTCAACTTCTGCCTATGATACTACAGCTCAATATCCCTAATGTATTCAGTGATGAGGATTTATTGAGGGATTGATGCAAAATTCCTTTAAAAAAATACCAAACCAAATTCAACAGCACAGTAAAAAAAAAATTATACACCATGACCAAGTGGGATTTATCCATGAAATGCAAGGATGGTTTAGCCTATGAAGATGAACGAATGCAATAAACCACATTAACAGAATGAAAAACAATCACGATTATCTCAGTCTACACAGAAAAAGCATTTGACAATATTTAACACACTTTCATGATTTAAAAAAAGCACTCAACAAACTAAAAATAGAAGGAAATTACCTCAACATAAAAGGCCATATATAAAAAGTCCATAGCTAATATCATGCTCAGTGGTGAGAAACTAAAAGCTTTTCCTCCAAAACAGGAACAAGCCCACTCTCACATTGATTCAACATAGCACTAGAGGTCCTAGTAAGAGTAATTAAGCAAGAAATTGGAAAGGAACAAAATAAAATTATCTGCAGATGACCTGATCTTAAATGTAGCCCTAGATTTCAAAGGATGTCATGAACAGCCTGGGGAAGAGACTTGTTACAGGGGTGAAACCACTGTAGAGAGACCCCACTAGGGCAATGCCCAGTGGATCTATGGGTTCAGAGCCACTGCAGAGAGTCCCCAATAGGCCTAGAGGAGCTGTGGGGGCAGGGCCATTCCCAAGATCCCAGAACAGTTCTTGTAGAGCTACCAGTGTGCGACACTAGCCTGGGAGAGCTGCAGGCACAAGATTTCAACCTATGAGAGCGTCTCTGTGGACTGAGCCCAGGAAAGCTCTCCTCTTTTTTCTGTGTCTCCCTTTTGGAATGCAAATATGTATTCTATGACTGTCTTGACATTGTATTTCAGAAGCACATAATCTGTTTAATTTCACAGGCTCAGAATTGGAAATTTGCCTTAGTATGAATAGTGCTTTGAGTTTCACCCATCTCTGATTTAGATGACACTTGGTTTTGGAATTTAAAGCTGATTTTGAAATCATTTAAGACTTTGGGGATATTGGGATAGAATGAATGTATTTTGTATGTGAAAGGAACAAAAGTTTTGGGGAGGCAGGGGTGGAATGCTATGGTTTGAATGTTTACTGCCTCCAAAACTCACACTGAAATTTAATTGCCAGTGTGAAGAGTTTAAGGAGGCAGGACCTTTTAAGAGGTGATTAAACCATGAGGGCTTCACCCTTGTGGGTACAATTGGTGCCATTACAAAAGAGTGAGCTCAGTCTCCTCTTGCTCTCTCTCTTACCCTTCCACCTTCCGTCATAGGATGATGCTGCAAGAAGGCCCTCATCAGATGCTGGCCCCTTGATCTTGAACTTCCCTGCCTCCAGAACTATAAGGCAATAAATTTCCACCCTTATAAATTACCATCTGTGGTATTCTGTTATAGCAGCACAAAACAAAAACAATGGTTAAGATGGTAAATTTTGGGCTGGGCGCGGTGGCTCACGCCTGTAATCCCAGCACTTTGGGAGGCCAAGGCGGGTGGATCACGAGGTCAGGAGATCAAGACCATCCTGGGCAACATGGTGAAACCCTGTCTCTAATAAAAATACAAAAAATTAGCTGGGCACAGTGTCGCGTGCCTGTAATCCCACCTACTCAGGAGGCTGAGGCAGGAGAATTGCCTGAACCCAGGAGGCGGAGGTTGCAGTGAGCTGAGATTGTGCCATTGCATTCCAGCCTGGGTAACAAGAGCGAAACTCCGTCTCAAAAAAAAAAAAAAGAAAAAAAAGGTAAATTTTATGTCATGTGTTTTTTACCACAATAAAAAAAGTACTATCACATTTGAGACTTTTTTTTAAAAAAGGAGTGTTTTTAAAAGAAATGAAGCACTAATATATTCTATAACATAGATAAACCTTATGAAAACAATATGGGAAGTGAAATAAGCCAATCACAAAGACCATGGCTTAGTCCCTTTTGTGCTGCTATGACAGAATGCTATACTGGGTAACTTACAATGAATAGAAATTTATTTCCTCACAGTTCTGGAACCTGGGAAGTCCAAAATCAAGAAGCTGGTATCTATTGAGGGCTTTCTTGCTGCATCATTCCATGGCAAAAGGGCAAAGAGAGGGCAATAGAGAAAGAGGGAGCCAAACTTGTTCTTTTGTAAGGAACCCACTCTTGTGATAACAGATCCTCTCTCACAATGATAGCATTGATCCATTCATGAGGGTGGTGCCCCCATAATCCATTGACCTCCCATTAGGCCCTACCTCCCAGAACCACCTCACTGGGGATCACGTTTCCAACACATGAATGTTAGGGGACACATTCTGATATGGTTTCGGTCTGTGGCCCTGCCCAAATTGCATGTCAAACTGTAATCCTGTGTTGGAGGTGGGGAACTGATAGGAGGTGATTGAATCATGGGGGCAGATTTCCCTTTGGTGCTGTTCTCATGATAGGGTTCTCATGAGATCTGGTTGTTAAAAAGTGTGTGGCACCGTCCCCCACTCCTGCTCTGGCCATGTAAGATGAGCCTGTTTCCCCTTTGCCTTCCACCATGATTGTAAGTTTCCTGAGGCCTCCCAAGCCATGTCTCCTGTACAGCCTGTGGAACCGTAAGCCAATTAAACCTCTTTTCCTTACAAGTTACTAAGTCTCAGATTATTTCTTCATGGCAGTGTGAAAATCAGCTAATACATATTCGAACCAGACCAGATCATATACTGTATGATCACTGTATGATTCCATTTATATGCAATGTCCAGAATAGGCAAATCTACAGACATAGAAAGTATATTCATGGTTGCCTAGTGCTGGGGAGAATAGAAGGGTTGGGAGTTATCTTAGTCTATTCCAGCTGTCATAACAAATGTACCATGGACTGAGTAGCTTAGAATTTCTTACAGTTCTGGAGGCTGGGATGCCTAAGATCAAGGCACCAGCATGATGAAATTTGAGTGAGAACCCACTTTCTAGCTCACAGATGACTGTCTTTTCACTGTGTCCTCACAAGGGAAAAGGGGTGAGTGATCTGTCTGGGGCCACTTTCATAATAGCACGGAGCTCATTCATGAGGGCTGTGCCTTCTTGACCTAATCACTTCCCAAAGGCCCCATTTCCTAATACCATCACCTTAGGGGTTAGAATTTCAACTTAATGAATTTTGAGGGTACATAAACATACAGACCATAGCAGAGATCATAGCTAAAAGTTTTCTTTTGAAGGCGATAATGTTCTAAAATTTATTGTGGTGATGGTCATACAACTTTGCGAATACACAACACCAAATTGTACATTTTAAATGGGTGAAATTTTATGGTATGTAAATTATTTCTCAATAAATCTGTGGTGGGCCATAGTGGCTCATGCTTGTAATTCCAGCACTTTGGGAGGCCAAGGTGGGCAGATTGCTTGAGCTCACAAGTTCAAGACCAGCCTGGGCAACATGGCAAAACCCCATTTCTACAAAAGATGCTAAAAAATTTAGCTGGATGTGGTGGTACATGCCTGTAATCCCAGCTACTTGAGAGGCTGAGTCCAGGAGGTTGAGGCTGCAATGAGCCAAGATTGCACCACTGCACTCCAGCCTGGGTGAGAGTGAGACCTTGTTTCAAACTCCCCGCCTCAAAAAAACTCTGCTATATCTGTTATATTCTTATGTTTAAAGGTCACTACATATGAGAAAACATTCCAATCACCAGAGATTTGACAATTCTTAACCTGTATTCAGATAACAACCGAGTGTCAGAATATACACATTAAATAGATGACAGTGGAAGCATATAAATTAGAAAAAGAATACATTTAAAGGGCTTATATTACCTGATTTTTATATTTACTACAAAGCTACAGTAATAAAGACAATATGTGTTTTTGGCAAAGGGATGAACTCACAGATCAACGGAATAGAAAACTGAGAAATAAACCCACTTAAATATAATCAATTGTTCACAAAAGAGCAAAGGAAATTCAATGGAGAAAAAATGTTTTCTACAAATGATGCTGAAACAATTGGATAACATGTAAATAACAATGAGCCTGGGGCTTTATTTAACACCTTATATAAAAATTACCTAAGAATAGATCATAGATGTAAGTGAAAAACATTATCATTAAGCTAGAAGAAAAATGAATAATTTCCTAAACTTTAGTTAGGGATGGGCTCTTTTTTTTTTTTTTTTGATACAGAGTTTTGCTCTTGTTGCCCAGTCTGGAGTGCAATGGCACAATCTTGGCTTACCACAACCTCTCCCACCTCCCAGGTTCAAGCAATTCTCCTGTCTCAGCCTCCCGAGTAGCTGAGATTACAGGCAAGTACTACCACACCCAGCTAATTTTTTTGTATTTTTAGTAGAGACAGGGTTTCTCCATGTTGGTCAGGCTGCTCTCAAACTTCTGACCTCAGGTGATCTACCTGCGTTGGCCTCTCAAAGTGTTGGGAGTAGAGGCATGAGCCGCACTGCACCCAGCCAGGGATGGGGTTCTTAACTATGACACCAAAAGTATGGTCCATAAAAGGAAAACTTGGACTTCATCAAAATTTAAAGCCTTTGCTTTATAAAAGACACTGAAATAAAAATGGAATAAAAGAGAATAAAAAAACAAGCCACAAACTACAAAATTAAACCAGGAAAACAAAAAACAGAATTCTTTTAAAATGGCAAAAGATTTGAATACTTCATCAAAGATACACAGATGGACAATAAGCACATGAAAAGATGCTCAGCATCATTAGTCATTAAGGAAATGCAAATTGAAGCCACAATGAGATACCACTACACATCTACTACAGTGGACAGAATAAAAACAATGAGAATACCAGGTGCTGGCAAATTATGGAGCAACCACATCTTCATACATTGGTGGTGGAAAAACAAAATTAACCAATAATTCTGGAAAAGGCTGGCCCTGTGTTACAAAGATAAACATACACTTACTATATGACCTAACCATTTCATTCCAATATTTACCCTTCAGAGATGAAAATTTATGTTCATACAAAAACCTACATATAAATGATTATAGTAGTTTTATTCATAATCAACAAAAATTAGAAACAACCTAAATGTCCTTCAATGGGTTAATGGTTAAGAATACTGTGGAACATTACAAGGAAAACTACTCATCAATAAAAAGGAATAAATAACACAACAATGATGAATATCAAAGCCTTTTACTCAATGCAGGGTGGGGAGCCAGTAATGAAAAAAAGCACAAGGGGAATTTGTTGGTGCAGTGGAATGGTTCTGTACCCTTTGTGGTGATTTTTACACAAGTCTGCATAGGTCGTTTTAAGACAGAACTGTGGAAAGAAGAAAGGAGAAAGGGAGAAATAAAGAGAAAGGGGTGAAAGGAGGAGGAATAAGATGCGTAGGAGGAGAGAGGGGAGGATGAGGAGGAGGAACTATTATAACCACACACAATTACGGTGATAGTTACAAGGGTAATATCTTCATCAAACATAGCAAACACCTTTAAGTGGGTGAATTTTATTGTGTATTTTGATAAAAGCTGATTTTGCAAAAGTTCAAAAAGTTATTTTAAAAGACTAGTAAAATTGACAAATCTCTAGAAACATGACCAAGAGAAAATGCGAGGATAAAAATAAGCCATATCAGGAAAGAAAAAAGGGACATAAGTTCAGATAGAACAAGTACTTGAAAATAAAAATATTTTAAACAATTCAATGACCAAAAAAGATACATTTTTAGAAAAACCTACAACTTTCTAGAAGAAACAGTAAATCTAAATAGCCTCTAAAACTACTCAAATCACATATTACAAACACAACAATCCCAGTTTAATATGCAACTGAAATTCAAGGGACACAAACTCCCCCAGAGATGGGGAAAAAAAAAAAATCACCAAATTGGGTAAATCCCAGGAATGCAAGGATTTTTTAACATCAGAAAATCAATGTACTTTACCACATTAATAGATTAAAAGAAACCATATGATTAGCTCAAAAGATGCATACTTTATCAGGATCCCAGAAAACTTATTTTAAAATATAAAAAGCCTCATTCCATATATTCACAGTTGTTTCTATTGGGTACACCACTGTGGAGCACACATGACAGAAATGTCCTCTTCTAAATGACTCTATCAATAATACCTAATAGTTATTTAGCACCTGATAGCTCACAAATCACATTGCATCCATTTTCTACCTAACTCTAGTCATTCTCAAATAGGCATTACATTTTAAAACATTTATCTATGAGGAAACAGATTTCAAAGGATGAAAGTGACTTGTCCCAAATACCAATTATTTTCATTCTTTGTTGATTCTCTATGATATCATATGTCATATGGCAAATTAAAGTGAACAGAGAGCCACATGTAGATAATATATAACTGGAAAAATATCCAAAATTCTAAGTCCACTTCTCCAGTGCTTCTCATATACTTTTTGAACAAAAATATAAATTAAAAAAATTTAACCCTATGGTTTATATTGTTAGTCATATCTATTCTTTTCAAGTTTATAACCTACAGCTGGTGTTTCCTCAATTTAAAAACTATAGTTCCTTCAAAGCTAGATGAAGCAGGCTGATAGTTTTTACCTATCAAATTGGAAGCTTATCTTCAGGAAACCAGTGGGCATTCCTTTTAGTACCTATTCCTAACTGATTACAAATGACCTGCATATACCACAAACTCTTAGGTTATATACCACAAACCCTATGTACCACAACTTGATGTGTGATTTCAGTGTCAAGCACAAAAATGTCACGGGAAAGGTGGAGCACTACTTTCTCCTATTGCTCTCACTCTCACTAAGTACAGCTAAAAATCCTGGATATTACATACAAAGCAAACATAAAAAGGTTCTAAAAGATGGAGAGAGAATGGAGTGACTAGGGACCTCAGAACTCGAGGAAGAACACAGCAGTGACTTTCTTGGGTTTTCTTATTGCCTAATCTATCCCAGACTGGGTTCTGACAGAGAAGCTGACAACCTGGAAACACCAACAGACACCAACAAGAAAAAAAAAAGGCCAAGATAAGTCTGGTTTTTTAGCCAAAGGACTGGGAAGGGAGCAGCCTAGCAAGTCAGAAAATCACAATCCTACTTCAAAGACCACAGAAGAAAGCTATGGTCCTATCCACACCAACAAAGGCCTATACTTCCACCCTCACCAGGCTGTAACAAGGCTCCTCCATCCTCCACCTTTACCCTAAGAGTGTGGTTGGACAACCATTGGATAAAGAGATCATGAATGTGACTCACAGGTTTAGCAGCCCCATCAGAAGCCAGGAACATAAATGGGATTATACCAGCAGAGACACAGCCAGCTGGTACTCAAGGGGAGAGGAAAACAACAAAATAAAATGAAGGCAGGCTTTAGAGCTTCTTAGATCATATAGAACCAAAGAGCCATTTGTCTATGAATGTGTTATTCTTCAAGAGTATGACCCTGAAAACAATTCAGAGACCACTGGGGATACCTCCTGTTTCAAAGGGTGGAACCATCACTTTGGTTTCAACAGAACAGAAAGGCTCCAGCTGAAGCCTTAGAGGCAGAATTGCCCTGCAGAGGCTTAACAGAGGGGCCACCTGGCAGTACCACAGAGATAGGACCACTACTCCAGTCGGTCCAGAAGGCAGGGCATTGAGCAAAAGAGGATTATTCTCAGAAGATCTGATGAAATATAACCTCTGAAGAATTTGCCTTACTAAGTTCTGACTTGCTCTGGACCCACTCCTCCTACTTTCCTATTTCTCCCCCTGTGGAATGGGAATACCTACATTATGTCTAGATCACAAATGTATTTTGGAAGCACTTGTTTGGTTTCATGAGTTCATAGCTGGGGAGTAATTTTGCCTCAGGATAAACTGTACCCTGACTCTTACCCATATCTAATTTAGGTGATACTTGAAGGTCTGGATTTTATAGCTAATGCTAGAGTCAAGGTTTTAGGGGCTGTTGGAGTGGAATAAATACATTCTGCATTCAAGAACATAAATTCGGTGGGGGGGCTGCATTGGAATGTTATTAACTATATGTATCCCCTTCTCCCCAAAATTATGTTGAAGCCCTAATCCCCAATGTAATTTATTGGAGACAGCGTTTTTAGGTGGTCATTAGGGTTAAATGAGATAATAAGGGAAGAGTCCTAATCTGCTAGAACTGGTGGACTAATAAGAAGAGAGAGCTGTTTCTCTCCTCCTCTCCCCATTGGCCCCACATCTGCATGCACTACAGACATGAGAGGACACAGTGAGAAGGCAGCCATCTGTAAGCCAGGAAGAGAGCCCTCACTAGAAGCAGAGTCCACAGGCACCTTGATCTTGGACTTCCCAGCCTCCAGAACTGTTAGCAATAGGTATTTTTTTTAAGCCACCCAGTCAGTCTATGTTATCTTGTTAAGGCAGATTGAGCAGATTCAGGCAAAAATCATCAAGAAAAAAATCAACAGAGCCTCAGGAACTTGTGGGACTACAACCAAAGAGCCTTTCATTAGAGTCCCAGGAGAAAAGGAGTAGAAGGTAGGGGCTAAAATGTATTTAAAGAGATGATGGCTGAAAATCTCCCAAATTTGGCAAAAGACATAGCCTGTAGATTGAAGAAGCTAAGCAAACCCCAAATAGGATAAACTAAATCCACACCAAGATACATTATAGTACAACTTCCTCAAAATTAAAAACACTTCACTCAAAATACTATGTCCAATAATCTTTAAAGTTTCAATGAAAAACGTATGTAGCTTTCTGCTTCACCTCCATGCCTCAGGTTATGGTGAAGAGCCTCTGATCTGCTAGCATGATGTGAGGATCCAGAAACCGCCCCCATGATGGAAGAGGACCAGGAGCTGGAGGGGAAAGCAATAGAAGGAGGCAAATAATGATAAGCAACACAGAGGCAAAATGTGGGAAAACTAGAGCTAAAACAATGGGACCTCTGGGTTGGATGAAGTGTCCTCTTGCTGGTACCAATAAAAGATCTCTAATGAACATAACTAAAAACACCTTGCACTCTCATAAAGAGCAAGACCATGAACAAAAAGAGGACAATAAGGAACCAGCAAAGAGCCAGGCCCAGAAAGAAGAAGACCCAAAGAAACACAGAAGCCATCTTTACAATCATAGCTTCCATGCTCAAGGTTATCAGTTGCTCCCCACCACAAAAGTGGAGCAGCCAGGGCAAGTACAAAAAGCGATCCAACCGGTGGTGAGGTCAGAGCCAGGGCCAGCAAGCCCTGTGGGCTCTGTGCTTCTTCAAGGGTGCAGTGTGCAGAGAAGGTGTTAGCTGGCAATGCAGATACCTGAGAGTGACCTTTACAGTAGGTCCTTTGTTGTTCTTAAAGAGGCTGCTGGTCATGGGCAAAAACAGACCTAGCAACTCTTGTAGGAAACAAGTACAAAGGAGGATGTCTTGCCAATTTTAAGCTACATCCGCAGCGTAGTAGACATATGTATTGTTGTTAGTTTATCTTACTTGGAAGTGTGTTTCAAAATAAACACGTCTAGAATTTTAAGTTTTCAAAAAAAAAGTATTTTATATATATATGAAGATGCCACCTACCTCTACACAAGAGTAAAATGGTAAAAGGTATTTCAAAGTCTTTCCAAGTTTTTCATAAATTAATATATAGCATCAGTGCAAATCTACAACTAAACTTTACTGTAAGCTATAAAAAAAATCTAAGGTACAACTAGATACAACTGAGGTAAATCTTTATAAATAAGCATGTTCTTAGGTAACTCAGATACCTTAAAACAGTTTTAACACATCAAAGGTCTCTTCTGTACTCAATTTTCTATGCTGTGGGTCTTGACCCTTGGAATTAACATGATTTATAGTAGGTGACATCTCAATAAGCAAGGTCTGAAAGACAAAAATGCAGAAACAAACACCCTGCATTACCCTGCAGCCAACATTCCTTAGCTGCAGGGTAAAGTTACCCTCACAGAAACTTTTCAGCTGACTAATTAGCAAGTCTAATATTTTTCATGACTGTGAATATTCAGTTGAGTAGTTATCATAGTCAACATTTCTTGAGTTCATTTCCCCAGCTCTTTTTTTCTATCCTTTCCCTCTACTTCCTTTGGCTCCTTAAGAATGAAAGACAACTTCCCTTCTTCCACCACTTCTGACTCTAGACAAACTCATTGTGAATTCTCAATCTCTTATTCTACTTGTGCGACCTCTCTAAAAAGATCACTTATCTCTTTAAAACTTATATTCTTAGTATTATGAAAATACCTGGCACAGTCAAGATGTCCCCTTTCCATCATGCCACACCCCATTTCTCTCCCAAGGCTATGGTAATTTACATACACACTAGGATGTTATAAATAATTTTTCTCTTTCCTGAGGGAAATTCAGTGTCCTCTGCCAGAACACTTTTAAAAATATAAAACAATACTTTCACAATCTAATTACGCTACATCCCACATCAGCAATGACTTGTCAATAATTTTTTTTGCAACACAGTCTTAAATTTCTTTGTAGACTCCCACAGCAAGTACGGTAAATGCTCAAAAAGTATGCTCTGAATGTAAACCACATTTATATGGTCTTTATCCAGTATGAATTCTCTTGAGTTGGCCAAAGGCTAAATGCTCACTAAAAGCTTGGGCATATTCCTTGGTTTTCCCTCCAGCATGAGTTTTCTGATGTTGAGAGAGAGAGGAACTCTGGCTGAAGGCTTTTCCACATTCCTTACACTTGTAGGGCTTTTCTCCAGTGTGAGTTTTCTGATGCTTTGTAAGAGATGAGCTCTGGCTGAATGCTTTTCCACAATCTTTACATTTGTAAGGTTTCTCTCCAGTGTGTGTTCTCTGATGACGTATAAGGGCTGAGCGGTCACTGAAGGCTTTGGCGCAATCATTGCATTTATACGGTTTCTCCCCAGTGTGAGTTCTCTGGTGCTGAGTTAGGGCTGAGCAGTAGCCAAAGGCTTTCCCACATTCGTTACATTCATAGGGCCGCTCCCCAGTATGAGTTCTCTGGTGCTGAATAAGACCTGATCGATCACTAAAGGCTTTGCCACATTCATTACACTTGTAAGGTTTCTCTCCGGTGTGAATGACCTGATGCTGGGTAAGAAATGTGCTTTGGCTGAACGCCTTCCCACATTCATTACACTCATAAGGTTTCTCTCCAGTATGAATTCGCTGATGTTGCGTGAGGTATGAACTCTGATTAAAGGCCTTCCCACATTCATTGCATTCATAGGGTTTTTCTCCAGTATGAATTATATGATGCCGAATAAGGGCTGAGCGATGACTAAAGGCTTTCCCACATTCATGACATTCATAGGGTTTCTCTCCAGTATGAATTCTCTGGTGCAGAGTAAGGTGTATGCTCTGGCTAAAGGTTTTACCACATTCATTACATTCATAGGGTTTTTCTCCAGTGTGAATTCTCTGATGCAAGATAAAAGCTGAGTAGTAACTAAAGGCTTTCTCACACTCGTTACATTTCCAAGGTTTCTTTCCTGTACAAATTCTCTCATGCCTAATTATATCTGAGTTTTGTTTTAAGTTATTTTTAAATGAATCACAATGATGTAGTCTCTCTCCTTGCTGCTGAACAAGTAAGGACCTCCGAGTGCAATTTCTTCTGAATTCATCAAATTGGTAACTTCTCCCCCTAGAAGATTTCTGAGTGATAGCCTCTTGTATTAAATGTTTCTCATGGTTTTCCTGCTGACTCTCTAAAGAATCCTCACATTCACTGGAACCTTCCTTTGAAAATCTTACGATTAACACCCCAGGGGCTGATTCTTCTTCAGAAATCTCCTTCTCTGGAGTTAGCTCCTTGCTGTCTGTTATTGCTTCCCAGTCTGAAAGAAGCAAAAGTACACATGTAAATCATTTCCTACACTGAGAGAAAAATAACTGCTCTGGTAGGAAAATAATGAGACAAAGAATATTTATAGGGAACACATGAACTTGAAAGCTCTCAAAAATAGTCTTGCAATCTTGAGAGAACACAAGGAAAAAAAGATGATTGGGCAAAGAAGTACAGCTGCATAAAAGGACAGCGTGGTGTAGGTACTCAACATTCCTCTTCTCAGCAGGATAGGAAATAACAAAGAATAACAGAATGAGACTAAGAAGAGGTGATGTGGGGAAATACCAGATTTTGAAAAAAAGGATTTAGAGAAGACAGGGCTAGGATCAGAGAAAGATGGTCTTCCAAAGACTCACTGTACCTATCTGACCAGCAGAGCCTTATCACTTCATGCCTCGAGAATGACCATCTGTAGCTAATCTCCTTGCTACCAGTCTTTTCTTACTCCAATATGTCCCAACCACTGCTAAAAGAATAATCTCTCAAAACCATCTCTCTTTTACAAAAATCTGTTGGTTCTAATGTCTCAAGATGAGACACAAATTCTAGAAGCTAGCATTCAACATGGTCCAGTTCTACAAACTCAAATACCATAAAGCTTAGTAACTAGAAAGCAACTAATCACCTGTGATTGCTTACCATCACCCAAAACTCAGCAAACTGGAAAGAGTAAACCAGAACCAAGAAGAAAGAAAAAAGAGAAAAAGGAAAGAAAGAGAAAAACAGCAGGATGTTGGGAAAGGAAGGTTAAAACTCCATGTGCTCAGATTAGTCCCCAATCTCTCAAGATACCTGCCCCAAGTTCCTGGGCTTCCTAGTAAGAATTTGGGGGTGGGGGCAAAGCTTCATTGCTAAAATTGTGTAAATACTTCCAAGCCTAGATGGCCTTTAATATCCATGCCAGTCATGTCTCACATGAAATAAATTAATACAGTGTTCTCAATTAGATATACTCAGGGGAGTGCCTGGGATTTTAAAGGACAAATAAGTAGAATAGGTTAAAGGCAAATGGACTTCCATCTAAGGGGAGTGGAAAAATTAAAACCCCAAATGTTCAAGAAGAACACATGGTTGGGGAGGCAGGTAAGGGACTTGCCTATCTGATGTTAAGAGTTCAAGTTGAAGAACAGAGAAGGCAAAAAGGTTAGGCAGATAGACTAACAACAGCTTTGAAAGCAGGTAGAGGAATACAGAATTGGCAGAGTAAGGAACTCAATGTGGAATCTAGCAATATTATGCTGCCTCAGTTTTACAAGAGTAAAACTAAAGAAAGTATAATTAGCCGGTAATCTATTGCAGTAATGCAGTTTGACAGAAGTAATAGGGTCAAACCCCTAACATCTTTCAAAGAAGTTATTAGAACTTAATAACTATCATTTGCTTAACATAAAGCCATTTGTCTTGGATTATTTCCTTATATTGTTATGTCACGATAATAATATAAGCTTTGTGTTCTCATTATCCCCACTTCACCATTGGGGAAATTTAAGTCACAGAGAATGCAAGTCACCTGTTAAAGGTCACAAAGCTAATGAGTAGCTAAGATCAGCTTTAAACCAAGGAAGTCTGGTTTCAAAGTCTACAGTCTTAATCACCATGCTATGCTGCCTCTGCCTAGACAGAGAAGGCAGCAAGGGAAAACCCAGAGATCAATTTGCAGCCATTGGTCTGAGATAAAAAAATTGCATCCTGCAAAGATAAAATAACACATGCAAACAATCCTGGTTTAGAGCCTTGAACCCAAGCAAGTTATTAACAAACATGAAAAGGTTGGTTTCATTTCACCTTAATTGGGAAAAAGAATTGGTGTGAAAGAATAGAAAGGCTGGGTGCAATGCCTCATGCCTGTAATCCTAGCACTTTGGGAGGCTGAGGTGGGTGGCTCACCTGCAGTCAGGAGTTCGAGACCAGCCTGGCCAACATGGTGAAACCCTGTCTCTACTAAAATTCAAAAAATTAGCTGGGCATGATGGCACATGCCTGTAGTCCCAGCTACTTGGGAGGCTGAGGAAGGAGAATCTCTTGCACCAGGAGGTGGAGGCTGTAGTGAGCCAAGATCACGCCGCTGTACTCCAGCCTGCATGATGGGAGCAAGACTCCATCTCAATTAAAAAAAAAAAAAGAGTAGAAAGTATTTTCTTTCTAAAAAATCAAATTATAACTTTATAAACAGATCACCATCCACAGAGCTGGGATGTGGCACAGGGGAGAGATGGGGACTTCAACTTTTCCATGGGTCTAGCAAAATCTGGACAGGCTCCTTTTCCATAAGCATTTCCATTGACCATCTGGGTTCTACTGGCACTGTTTCCAACACTCACACACCTGGACTGGCTGCTTTTGAGACTTCTCTCTCCAGCTCCTCCTCATGCTCCAACTGAGAGATTACATCAGGTGTGGAAATTGGAAGCCCTATTCATAGGGAAAGAAAAAGGAGTCGGTAAAGAGGTCAGTGTTCATTCCTCGGTCTTCAGGAACACAGTAAGAGAGGGAGAGAGTGAGGTCAGTTCTCCATTTCTTCCTCAACAGTGCTCAGGAGGTAGGAAGATTGATAGGGGTTCATTTGAATCCCATGTCAATTTTACCTCCTCTGATTTAAAGAATAAGCACCCATTCTCTTAAGAGTTGTCTTCGTTGGCACTTTGTCTCTATATCCTTGGTCAAGGAGTAGAGAAGAAGGATGCTACAGGTCCATAACATAAATGTTTATGTCTAATTCCACAAGTCTTAAAACTATATCCAGAAACAAAAAGCAGAAATTGACTGTCTCAGGCCCCACTAGAATTAAAAATCATTGAATGTAAGGACCTTGGAGCTCCTAGGAATTGAGGAAGCCAAGGTACCGCACTGGGTAAATTCACAGGCGTTAGGGGAGCCATCCTTACCCAGCAAGACCAGATTCCTAGGCTTCTCAGGCACATCTCCCTGAGGAGAGTTCAGCTGCCTCCACTGGGTGAAAGCCTTGGCCATATCCCTGACCATCAGTTCCTGAAAAACCAAACACATTGGTGCTCACCAATAAGCCTCCTTCCAGAGGCCTCTGAAGAGAACTAAAACTGACAACACAGAAGGAGGAAGACAGGAAGGATAGAAGAGGACAGACAAAACAGCCTCGGCCACCCTTTCCAATACTAAGATTCTCTGGTGAATTTGTAGTCCACACACTCACATTTTGCTTCCAGGTAGCAGAACTGCCTATTACCTGCAACTAGGAGGGAAAGTACCTTCAATGTAAAACTTGAAGGTATGCACTTCTTAGTTTATGTATCAGTAAATTACAGAATTATAAAATTTGCTACTACTTACACAGGAAGAAGGGGAGAAAAATGTAATTATGAATTAAGTATTTTCCTTATGGTATACTTTTTAAAATATATGGGGTTCAAGAAATTGAAGTATTTTTTTCTCGTTTTCCTCTCACAATGAAATCAGTCCCATATATATTAAAAATTAAGATGCTTCCTACACATTTCACAGAATATAAGTTTATTTGTAAAACAGTATCTGAAGCCCAAATTATAAGTTTCCAGAGTGTTCTTGTTATTTTTCACAATGACCCTGATTAGTCTGTCCCCATTCCCTAGTTGATGGCATTCTTTCATCTGCCTGTAGTGTGTGTCTCATTCCCTTTAGCCCCTTTACACATCCTGCTTACTATTCCTGAATATTCTGCCCACTGCCCCCTCCTTTCAGCAATGTGAATCCTTCTCTCCTTTCAGATCTCAGCTCAGGTGTTACCTCAAGGGAAGCCCTCCCTGACTCCTAGTTATAGCACATGTTCCTTCCCTTCTCTTGGGTTGTACACATAGAGAGGATTTTGTGACTAAGCTCCACAGGAGTAGAGGCCAGGTCTATTTTTGCTCACTGAAGCAGTGCTACTACTTGGCACAGAGCAGAAACCCTGTAAATATTTGTGGAATATTTGAATAAAGAAAGGAAGGAATGAACAATAATTCGTAGAAACAAGTTTAAATGGGATAGTCTATAAAAGTGTGCATGGGAACAGAAGTGAGGAGAAGAACAGAAGTGTATCAAACATTGAAAACAGGAGTGTTTAGCCTAACTTTCATCTAGATAACAGGCACAAATGTTTAGTTTGTTTACTAAAATATTGAAATAAGGGAGTAGGGAAGGTAATGCTCCTTTGAATCTGTTACTGCTGATAAGATAAATGTCTAATAATTTTTCAAATTCTATTTTTCAAATCTCTACACAACTACAACTTAACTGAGACAGAGGAAAATAAACCAGTCCTTGGGTTAGCAAATGAATCAGTTTTACCCCTCTTTAAACTACCACTTTGGCCACAGTTCCTTGAATATACATATGAAACGTACTGTTAATTGTGTTTATATTCAACTTTCTAATGTATATTTCATAGTCTTCCAAAAATGACTGTAAAACAATGCACATAATGACATAAGTTAAAAGAACTACTTACTCTGAAAATCCTCTGCCCCAAATACACTTTTTAATACTTTAAGAAATCCTGGCCGGGCGCAGTGGCTCACACCTATAATCTCAGCACTTTGGGAGGCCGAGGCAGGTGGATCACAAGGTCAAGAGATCGAGACCATCCTGGTCAACAAGGTGAAACCCCGTCTCTACTAAAAATACAAAAATTAGCTGGGCATGGTGGTGTGCTCCTGTAGTCCCAGCTACTCGGGAGGCTGAGGGAGGAGAATTGCTTGAACCCAGGAGGCGGAGGTTGCAGTGAGCCGAGATCGCACCATTGCACTCCAGCCCGGGTAACAAGAGCGAAACTCCATCTCAAAACAAAAAAAGAAAGAAATCCTGTACTTTGAAATTTAAGGTCGCTTACGGCCATATGCCTCAGGAGTGATCAGCACAAGTAATATAAGGTACACAATCTTCGTTCTTTACAAACAGTGCTAACACTAACAGACTAACAGGCGGTGGCTTTCAGACTTCAGGTCCCTGAGAAAACCTCTGCAACTCACTTCTAGCCCCGTGCTGGGGCTAGAAGGCACAGACAGGCAAATCAGACACTGTCAGCAGGTGCTACTGACTTTCTCTCCCCTCATCTCTCTAAAATTCACAGACAAACATCAATACTGGCATTTTCTCCCATGGTTTTAAAAGGATCATCAGTACCTATATGCCGTTAGGCCTGGTGTGATGGAGACAGAGTCCCAGCACCCGAACCAAAGGCCAGATCTTACAGTAGCATCTTTACTAATCTTCTCTCACCAATCAGCTATGGCATGTTTCATCTTGCTGGGCCTCTAAAAACCTTCATGGGGCCTTCATTTGCCTCTGAAATAAGACCAAGTATAGACTGTCCTGGCGTCTGGGTACAACACACTCAAGCTTCCCTCACCACAGTCAAGGTCACCCCACAGTGATTCACACATTCACACATCCTTGGAAGACCTCCAATTCCCTCATCATTTAAATACTTTTTTTTTTTTGGTCAAAGCTGTTCTCTCTTGGAATATTCCTTTATTCTACCCTTCAACTACTCACTCTTTCTCGTTTTTCAAAGTACAGTTTTTATCCCAAACTTTTCCCAAACAGATGATAAAAAAGCCTCTTTCAGAGCCATTTATGGCTTGACTGGACCAGTTATTTCTATGTTTAAAAAATATCAATTTCTTCATGTTTTATTTATATATCTCTCACTGCCTTGATAAACTCCACGATGCAACAGCAAGTGGCTTTTACTTCTTTGCATCTCACCAAGGCCAAATACAGTACTGAATGGCTAACAAGGGCACAGCAAATACTCAGTGGGTAAAGAGAAAGCAATGCTGGGAAGAAAGTTCTGCACAAATGAAAAGCACTTCCTGTGGGGTTCATCAGTCATCAGTTTATCAGGGTAAACCCAGTGGTCTAGAAATCAGGGCTGGCCAATTCCATGACAATGAAAGGAAACATATCCTTGCTCAGAGAAATGAAAGAAAAAAAGAAGAAAATTTACTTGGGACCCAGAGGTCAGCAGCACAGCAGTCATGCCATTTCCTTTTGGGTTTCCAGCATGGAGAAGGTCTGAGTCCTCAAAAAGTGATCCTAGAAGTGGAGACAGGCGCCATGATGATTACTCTGTCCTTGCAATAAATGCTCAGCAAGTGCCACACACCAGCTACTTGTCATCTAAGAAGAGTCAACACAGGGAACCAAAAGACATTCGCATAATATTCTTTAATCAAAACAGCCTTGACCATTGCTGCCTCAGGCTCCTCCTGTCCTCCTCTGCCCTTAAACTCCAGCAGAACTGCTATGAACATGTGGACATATAAACATATTTTTATCTTGTATATGCTAAGTAGTCAAAATAATACTCAAAGTCTTTGTGTGTCCATGCCTCACTTAGTAATTGATCCTTGTTATATTCCAGACTCACAGGATGAACGAAGACCAAATTCTTTTTGAACACTGGCTTTTCAGATATTAATACAATACTGCCTGACTCAGAAGTGATGAGTCTTATGGAAAAACCACCACCACCAAAACCAAAACAAGATTGTAAACAAATTCCATGACTTCTCAAATCCCCGCTTTCCCTACCTTCCTACTGCCTTATAGGGTTCCTCTGAGGTCAAAAAAGAAGTCATTATCAAAAGCCAAATTGTGAGATGTGTTGATATTTTCCCTTGGGCAATGGAGGCATCCAGCGCCTTACAGACCAGAAGGGCAATGGAGGTGCCGTCTGTCCCTCAAAACTCCAAGTGAGACCGGCTAGTAGGAAGGAGCTCGTGATACTACTCCCTCATGAGCCTGCCCCAGCCAGAGGCAGCTTTTCTCCCTCTCTAGCAGGCACCAAGGCAGCATGACTCCCAAATCCTCACCTCTGCCCCCAGGCTCCATGACGACTCCTTCCTCGGGGCCCGCGCTGGAGGCAACTGGCGCTGGGGAAGGGGCCGAGGGTCCGTCGCTCGGGTCCCCCCAAGAGGCCCGGAATGCACGCGCGACCCTCGCCGAGCAGCCCGGCGCCCGCACCCGGGGGTTCTTCCCGCCACCCTCCCGGGCCCTTAGATTAGAAGAGGATGCGCTCAGTTCTCCTCGATCCTGGGTCCGACCTCCAGCCAGACACCGAGGAAGCCGAGCCAGATGACAAAGGCATCTAACTGCCTGCAGAGACACCTCGCGCCGGCCTACCGAGAGGCCGAACTACCACTCCCAGAATCCTCCACGGGGCGCGGCTCCAGCCCCCACCCCCAACGCGGCTTCCCAGAGGACCCCGCGGCCTCCGTGCCAGTGGCTGCGTTTGCGGCAGCGGCTCCCGCTGGGCCTGCCTGGAGGAGTGCTAGCCTGTTCGCGAAGCCCTGCCCACTGCTCTCGAAGGGCCGCTTCTCCCTCCGTGCCGACTGTGGGCGGTGGCCGCGCCAAACCCCGCCCAGCGTGGGACTTTTGCATCCCCGCTACTGTGACGACGGAAGGCAGCGCCCCTGACCCACGCAAGATCCCTCCCTGGCTGCATGCAGTGCTCCCTCGGAGGGTAGGTGTCCCGCGGTATCCCCGCTGCTGCGCCTCCACGCATCGTACCTTCCTGGCCTCCACAGAGATGATCTCAGTTTATTTCCAGTAACCGGGGATGTTTGTTCCAGACTGCACCTCGGAATAAAGAAAAATGGCATTTCAGTCCCACCTCAAACCTCCCAAATAGCCACGTCTCCAAGAAGAACCAGTAAACTAGTGCTCCTGCCCCAAGGAGGCTGAGCCTGAAGGTCTTGCAGCCGCCTCCGGAACTCTAGGGGTGGGCGGGTCTTCAGACTAGTGTGTGTTTTCATATACCTTCCCACGACAAAGTGCCAGGTTTCTGTCTCAGAAAGAGCTTAGCTGTGTCCTTGTTTGGGTACAAGCCAAAATGTCCAATTGACCTTTATCCAACAGAATCTCCAATTTTTAGCTAGGCTTAAGGTTTCCCAAGGCTTCTCATTATTCCTGCCCTTTGTCCTCCCCGGCACCCCCTGCCCCTGCTGGAACGTAATAAATCATCATGCGCCGTGTGGACTAGGTTAACACCCTAGGGATGGTAAACCAACAAGATAGAAGGAACGGGGCTTGGCCTTTAGCATGAGAGATGCAAACTTCTGTTTTGTATAAGCCACTATTATTTTGGGTTTCTTCTGCACAGATAACCATACTTAATCTGTAGCTAGTCTGTAGATTGGCTGCATTTGGTCCAGGCCACTAGGGCTGGTGGGGATAAAGGACATGTGATAGAGAGACACAGCCCTGCCAGCTCAAATGACAGCCTAAGGGAGTCTCCCTACCCTTCCTTCCGCAGGAGATATGGGATGGGCAGTTTCCTTCAGAAGATGCTTCATATGAAAGACACCACCCCCTGATGTTTTGGAAACCCCAGGGATAAGGTCTAGGGCCTGCAGCTTGCTGCCCGCAAAAAGCCAATCACTGAGAGAAGTATTGCCAAGGAAGAAGGCTTCAATCAGGTGCTGCAGCCCAGAAGATGGGAGACTAGCTGCAAATCCATCTCCCTGACCTACTAAAATTGGGGGTCTATATAGCAGGGAAGACATGTAACTGTGTAGGGGAAAACAGGAACTAGGGAGGATTAAGGAAGCAATCATGAAGAAAGACGGATCTGCTGTATCCTTGTCTGTATGCCGTCATCTGGTGTGTTTCAATTCTTTGATACTTTTTTTTTCTTCAAATGTTCTCTCAGAATCATCTTTTGATGCTTTCTTGAGGGGCCTGAGGGTCTTTCCTGAGGAAGGAACTAAGATAAAGCAAGTATAAGTTTCAAGCTTTAAGACCAGAGAGTGCGGTGGGCTCACGCCTTTTGTCTCAGCACTTTGGGAGGCCGAGTCGGGCCAAGGCAGGTGGATCACTTGAGGTCCGGAGTTCCTAACCAGCCTTGTCAACATGGTGAAACCCGTCTCTATTAAAAATACAAAAATTAGCCTGGCGTGGTGGCGCACACCTGTAATCCCAGCTACTTGGGAGGCTGAGGCTGGAGAATTGCTTGAACCGGGACCCAGGATACAGAGGTTGCAGTGAGCCAAGATCGTGCTACTGCACTCCAGCCTGGGCGAGAGAGCAAGATTTCATTTCAACAAAAGGCAAACAAATTAAAATTTAAAAACCAGAGTCAGTTTCTATGTTTGTCCAAAATAAGGTCTGTGAGACTATTGGGCTGGTTTCAATGTGTCTAGAGCACCCCTTTCTTCTTATTGCTAACCGTCCCCATCACAGGTATCTCTTCTTTGTTACCAAATCAATTGTCAGTCCTCATCTCACTTTATTAACATCAGGTGATAACACTTGGCTACTCCCTACTCCTGGAAATACTCTCTGGTTTTCTTCCTCCTTGACTGGTCACTCTTTCTCAATCTCATTAGCTATTTTGTCTTCTCCTCACCACTAAGCCAGTGTTTTCCAAACGACAGTCATGCATCACTTAACAACCAGGATACCCTCAGAGAAATACATTCTTAGGTGATTTTGTTCTTGTGTGAACATCATAGAATGTATTTATGAAAACCTAGACTGTACCACCTACTGCACACCCAGGCTGTATGGTATAGCCTTTTGTTCCAAAGCTATAAACATGTACAGCTAGTGAATTATGTGGTGAATACTGTAGGTCATTGTAACAATGGTATTTGTGTTTCTGAGCATATCTAAATATAGAAAAGATTCAACAAAAATACAATATAAAAGATAGAACATGGCACGCCTGTATAGGGTACTTACCATGATTGGAACTTGCAAGACTGGAGGTTACTCTGTTACCAAAACACCAGGGGTTCAGTCTAGGTCCTGCCCTTCATAGCACAGGAAGCTGATGATTAAGACCATGATCTCACAGCACAGGAAGCCAATGACTGAGATGATTATCAGGTGCTGCAGCTGCGAAGATGGGAGGTCAGTATCAGATTCATATCCCTGATCCACTGAAACTAGGGATTTATCTGGCAGGGAAGAAATGTAACAATGTGTGGGAAAATAGGAACTCAGGACAGGTAGGTTAGCACTCATGATGCCTGTGGTGCCTGGTGTCTCACTGTCTGGATGCAGTGATCCGGTGAATTTCCATTCTTTGATTTTTTTTTTGTTTGATGGAGTTTTTTTCTTGTCCAGGCTGGAGTGCATTTAAAATAACTCACAAGTTATTTTTTTTTTCCGATAAACATAGAAAGTATCCTTTCTAGTCTGAAAGCTTGAAACTTCCATTTGTTTTATCTGAGTTCCTTCCTCAGTAAAGAAACTCCAGCCCTCTTAAAAGTATCAAAAAACAGGCTGGGCACAGTGGCTCATGCCTGTAATCCCTGCACTTTGGGAGGCTGAGGCAGGTGGATCACATGAGGTCAGAAGTTTGAGACCAGCCTGGCCAACATGATGAAAATACATGTCTCTACTAAAAATACAAAAATTAGCCAGGCATGGTGGTGCACACCTGTAATCCCAGCTACTGGGGAGGCTGAGACAGGAGAATCGCTTGAACCCAGTAGATGGAGGTGGCAGTGAGCCAAGATGGTGCCACTGTACTCCAGCCTGGGTGACAAAGCAAGACTCTGTCCCAAAAAATGAAGTTACCTTTTCTTTCCTCTAAGTCTTAAAAAAAAGTTTCCCTTAGCTTACTATAAATTTTTTACTTTATAAACTTTTTAATTTTTTTAACTTTTTCGACTTCAGTAATAACACTTAAAACATAACACATTGTACAGCTGTCAAAAACATTTATTTTCTTTGTATCTGCATTCTGTAACCTTTTTTCTTTTTTAACATTTCTTATTTAATTATTTTTTTTGTTAAAAACTAACACACTTTAGCTGGGTATGTGGCACATGCCTGTAATCCTAGCTACTGAGGAGGTATAGACAGAAGGATGGCTTTTAGCCTAGGAGTTCCAGCTCTAATTTTGCCACTGCACTCCAGCCTGGGCAACAGAGTGAGACTATATATCAAAAAAAAAAAAAAAAAAAAGCAGAAAAGGAAAAACTAAGACACATATACATATTGTCCTAGGCCTATGGAAGGTCAGGGTCATCAGTATCACTGTCTTTCACCTTCACAACTGGAAGGTCTTCAAGGGCAGTAACATGCATGGACCTGTCATCTCCTAGGATAGCAATGCCTGCTTCCAGGATACCTCCTGAAGGACCTCTCAGAGGCTGTTTTACAATTAACTGTTTTCCTTTTAAGTAGGGGTATACTGAGTATACTCTAAAACAACGATAAAAGTTACATAGTATATAATAAGTACATAAACAGTAACATAGTCGTTTTATCATTAGCAAGTATTATGTACTATACATAATTGTATTGCTGTACTTTTACACAACTGATAGCACAGTAGGTTTGTTTGCACCAGCATCGCCACAAGCATGAGTAATGTATTGCACTAATGGCTACAGCATTACTAGGCAAGAGGAATATTTCAGTTCCATTATAATTGTATGGAACCACCATCATATATGTGGTCTGTCATTGACTGAAATGCTGTTTTGTGGCACACGATTATATCATAATCAGAATCATCTGAAAGTCTTGTTAAAACACAGTGCTGAACTCCACCCCCATTCAGGTGGTCTGAGGTGGGGCCTGAGAATTTGTGTTTCTGTCAGCTTCCCAGATGATGCTGAAGCTGCTCATTTGAGAACCAACCAAATATTGAAATGCCCCAAAGCTCAGGCCTTGAGCCTGTCTTCCGTCCACACTAGGATAGCAGTGCCTACTCTTTGGTGATCTTGTTTTACCCACATACTCTAAATACCATCCAAATATGGTCAGCTCTCAATTTATATCTCGTTTGGGCTTTTCCCCTCACCTTGAGCTGTCTCTTCCACCTCTTCACTTGATGTTTTATAACCATCTCTAATGTAGCATGTTGGAAAGTGAACCTCTGCTGTTTCCCCTCCCCCACTGCCAAACCTCTTCCCCCTGCAGTTTTCCCCACCTCAGCAAATGGCAATTTGATCTTTGGTTGCTCAGTTCAGATACCTTGAACCCATCATTCTCTTTCTCCTTGAACCCATCTTCTCTTTATCACAAATTTATATGTGAAAATTTGGACATTGCACATGCAGTTTCTCAGAAAATTCTGTTGGCTCTACTCTCAAAATACATGCAGAATCTAATGACATTTCATCACCACCACGACCACCACCACCCTGGTTCAAATTACCAACTTTGCCTGGATCACTGCAAATGCTTGCTCACTAGTGTTACCCCTTCTACTCTTGTCCTGCACATTCTATTCTCAACACAGAGTCTCCCTCATCTCAGAATAAAAACTGAAAGTCTTTATGATGGCCCACAGCTCCTTCATAACCTGCACCACCCACCTCCACTAGCTCTCTGATCTCTTCTAGGACTTTCCCCTTGCTTGCCCCGTTGCAGCCACGCTGGCCTTCATGTCTTTCTTAGTCAGGTAAAGCTTCTACTCTGGAGCCCTCTGCTTCTTCCTCAGCCTGCATAATCCTTCCCCCAGGTGGCCACCAGGCTTGCTCTCTCACCAGCACCAAGCCTCTGTTCACTGTCTCTGTGAAGCCTTTTCGTCCCTCATTACTTTCTTTTCCATAGCACCTATCTCTCTAATATTATAAAAATATTATAAAATATAAATTATTAATTTTATTTTTTGGGTGTCCCCCAGTGCACATGCACCAGGGATCAGGCTTCATGGGGAAGGAGTATCCCCGGGGTGTTTACTGGTACTTACATGATGAGTCACTGAAGGAGAGTGTACTCTTCTCTGTATGATGCAGACAAGGTACCTGAAACTAATATGGTTCTTAGTGTTTTTCTTGGCTTTAATTTCTGTTCTTCTGGAAAATTTGGACTTTCTTCACAACCCTGCTTTCATTCACACGGGCATTACTTTAGAATAATGTGGCCTTGAACAGCAGTGGCGCCCCTCACCCACTGTAGCACATACATTGGTATCACATAGCAGTAGGATGGGTTTGGAACACTTGTAATAAAAACCCATGAGTCCCCATTGTCTCTTATAGGTTTATTAGCCCTGAGTTCTTCAAAACCTAGTGTGAATATCTGTTTCCTTCTAATATGTCTGACATCTTGTCAAGAAAGTATCCTTGCCTTTCTTAAGCAGCAGTAGTGCCATAAAAGGCCATTTACTTTGATGTGAAAGCTGACGTTAAGAGAAATGAATAAGGAATCTGTTAATCACCATGGAAGAGAGGAAAGCCAATAATATGAAGGAAGGATTTGGGTGGCAAACAGATGAAGGTTCGGGGACATCAGATTCAACATAAGAGAGAGAGAGGTGCCAAAGGCCTTAGACAGTGTGAGAGGTAGGCAGACCTGAGACAGGTAGTCAGGCTTGGAATGAAGCAGCAGAGGGAGTTAATCGGGCAGAGGTCTTGTGCCTCATCATATCCCTTGAGTCTCTGCACAGACTCTTAGCCACTTGCTCCACCTCTGCTGCCAAGGCCTGTGAAACCATTCAGCTCTTCCATTTGGACCACCTGTGGCTGGACAGTTACCTGCCTGGGAGTGCCAGGCTCTTCTGTGGGCTGAAGGTCAAAGAGCTGCACACTCAGGTTTTGGACCCCTCATACTGCTTCTAGCCTTGTGGAAGGGCCATACAGTGGGTTTGAGAGGCTGGCTTCCCTAGGAGTGGCTGGTTGATGCCACCTGAAGTGGGGGGCAGACGTGCAAGAGACGGAGGGAGCTGATCTGATTAATTCCCTTGGCTTCTCTTTACCCATTATTGCCCGAAGGCATGGTCACTCCACATACACTGGAGACTTCTTACAGAGCCAGGTAGATGTATGTGCTGAATAATCTCTCTTTCCCAGCTGGTGAAATAGAAGTTGACAGGCAACAGATCATCTTGCATTCATTCCTATCACTGCTTCACTTCCTTTTCCTCACTCTTGTTTTCCTAGGTTTGCACCTCATAAAGCACCAGCTCTTAAATCTTGCCTCAGGCTCTATTTCCCAGGGAATTTGGGCTAAGATTGGGAGCATGGCTGCCTAGGACCCCTGGTCCCTCTAATAGCAGTGTTGTTGCAAGGGACAACTGTGGGCCAGGAGCAGTGACTGATGGTGGAGCAGGAGCAGTGGCAAGGATCAAATGGTGAAGGCAGAGGCCCAGGCCTGGGTTAAGGAAGGAG